CTGCCCTGGAGGCCCAGGCAGTGCCCGGGGCCGGGGTCGCCGTTGCGGCCGCCGTCCAGCACGGAGGGGACGAGCAGCAGCACCATCGTGTAGAGCACCAGCAGCAGCGCGAACTTGCAGTACTCCCGGCGCCGCCGCCGGCGGCCCTTCATCGTCTCCGCGCCGACCGGGCGCCTGTCCCCTGCCCCGGCTCCGAAGCCTCGTCAAGGGGCAGCGCCGCGGGGCTCTTCGGGCCGCTCTCCGCAGCCGGAGGAGAGGGACGGCTGGGGCTGTGCCTCCACCGGGGACACTAGGGAGGCAGGCGACCCTGCCCTCTCCGCTCCGCCAGCCGGGAGAGCTGCCGATTGGCCGGCTCGGCAGCCGCCCCGCCCTCCGTGCGGCAACTTCTCCCCGCCTCTATCCGCCCGGGTTCGCCGCCCTGCTCCGCCCGATCCGGACGGGGCCGCGGCGGGGTCGGGACCCCGCGGGGCTCACCCAGCCCCTCGGTAACCCAGTCTTCCAGAGTGGACGAGAGCCGAGGGATGGGTTCGCGTGGACGGAATGCCCCTAGTGACGGGACGCAGACCCCACCCTCACGGCACCGGCTACCTACTCCCCCTCCGCCCCTCCCGTGATCTCTGTCTCATGAACAACTGAACACTCCACACTCTCCAGGGCGGGTCCCCTGGTCCAGCTCCATCCACGGAGCCCTTGCAGCCCTAGACTGGGCATGACTGAGTTCTGCACTATGACAGAGATCAAGGACGTCCGCGGAGGTAAAAGTACTACTGCACGCACACAATGCATGTAATTGTTAAGGATCCCTGGTGGCGTAGTGCTTCTGCATTGGGCTGCTGTCCGGAAGGTCAGCAGTTTGAAACCACCAGTCTCTCCATGGGAGACAGCGGAGTCTTCCTATGCAGGTCAAGAATTCCAGACACGGAAAGCCCACAGGGGCGGTTCTATCTGTGAAATTGTGCGTGTCGGAGTTTGGCCTGCTGAGGGCCAAATCCGCTTTACAGACGCCTGGAGAGTCAGTTTAGTCATTGATAACCTAAGAGTAATTTTTAGTGCGTACCCGCTGGCATTGTGAGACTGTGAGGTCATTGTCACCCCGGCAACACTTTGCAAGAGCAGAAAACATTTACCAAACGAAAGTGGCAAGATGGAGAACTTTGTCAGAAGCTCGGTTTTTTGTTTTTTTGTTTGAAAGGCCCGCAAGTGGGACATGTACCCAACTCAAATTCACTGCCACCAGTCGATTCCAACTGATAGCGACCCTGTGTGACACGGTAGAACTACCTCTGTGGGTTTTCGAGACCGTCCCTCTTTACAGGGGTAGAAAGCCTCGCCTATTCCCCCGAGGAGCAACAAGGGGCTAACTAGCCACCAGAGCGTCCTAAGTCCCGAAGGCCGGTGAAGTACGCATGTATATGGGGCTGCTTCAAAAATGTTTGTGGTAAATGGGAACGAAAAGATCATGGAATTTTCCCACAAACTTTTTTAAGCCCCTCATATATTTAGGAGTGCATATACTCAAAAGAGTAGTGACAGGAAGTTCAAATGAAGCTCTGTGGCTGTTAGTTGTCGCTGGGTGGACTGTAACTCATGACGACCTTATGTATAACAGACTGAAAGGTAGAGCACTGAAATCCGAAAGAAGAAAGAGGGAGAGAGTTTGCTGTGTTTCAACAGGATGGTAAGAAAGAAGTGGCAATTGTGTTGGGGGACAAAGCAAATCTCTTCATCCCCATTAGGGAGAAAGCAGTTCAATTTGAAAAATTAAAAGCATCTTAAAAAAGATCTCCTTTGGTCTTTTTTATGTGCATGGAAACTACTCCTACCTCTGAAAGTACTGACTCAAGCATCCTGCGTTCTAGCCACAGTTCCCGCAATCTTCCAACCTTTTCTCCAACCTCACTGATCGCTACCTCCATTTTCTTAATTTTTCCCCATGGGTCATTATTTTAACAACACTCATCTCAAAACCTAAACTCTCTTCTTTTTTTTCATCTAGAAAAATACCTAAAACATAGCTTTTGACATTCTCGGTGCAAAAAGTTCTCCACGGGACAGATTGGCATCAAGATAAATTCATCATCATCAACATTAAATGGACTCTGACATCTTAAACTCTTGTATGTCTCAAGTTCCATTATGACCATTTCAAACCGTCTCTGCCCTCCTCACATGCTGAGCACCCGTCCCTTTGCCATCGGCTAACAGATGACCTTATCTCCCTCTTCCTAGGAAGAAACCCATCTTAGTGCATGCCTTGATTTCCCACTACCTGACCCCAGCCCCCCTTACGCCCATACCCTCCTTCTCCTTTGTGACAAGGGGACTCTTTTCTGATATTAATCTAGAACTTGTAATTCCCTGTGTTTTCACTCTGGCCTCTTCCATTTTAAGCAGGGAAGTGGCTCTGTGCTTATAGTCTCCACAGAGGGATGTGACTGGATAGAATGTCAAAGGTCCCCGTGGTGATTACCTCCAAATGCCTGAACAGTGTGGTACATGTACAAAAAAAAAACACCCACAAAATATTGCCCCTCCTCTATCCATGGTGGCTGCTAACCCAAAGGTGGGTGCTTAGAACTCCCAGCAGCTCCATGGGAGAAAGTTGTGACAGTCTGCTTCTGTAAAGATTGTAGCCTTGGCAACTTGATGGCACAATTCTATGGTTTTTCTTTGTTCTTCTTTATTTTTAAATCCATGCCCTTTCACAAAGCCTTCCCACATGGACACTGAGATGGCCTTGTCACTGGCATTGTTCAAAGAGACAGTAGCAAACATGGCACAAGCAGAGGCTTCAGAAATGTTTCTGCTCTGGGGATTGATCTCTTGATGCTCTTTGAGGTCTTGAGATCACCATGTGATGGAGCCAGGAATACCTTTCTAGAGGATGAAAGACCTCATGGTTCAAAGAAGTCAGCCCTGCTGAGCCCCAACGCCACCCCATCCCCAGACTAAGCAGTTGAATGCTGTTGAGAGAAGCACTAGTCTGTGAGACTGTATGAAAAGAACTAGCCATGGACTCTGTGTGTGTAATTAGATGTGTAGTGAAGGATTACCAGAAGGATGTCTGAGCTGGTATCTGAAGGTCGAGAAGGAGCAGATTAAATGATGTGTGGTTAAGGAAAACAGCATATGCAAAGACTTCATGGCAAGAAGGAGGAACTCCAGTTCAAGCAAATTTGCTGTTGTTATTTGACATGGCCCTGACACATGGGGGATTGGATCATTATGACCCATAGGATTTTCATTGACTGATATTTGGAAGTAGATGACCAAGTCCTTTTTACCTAGCCCATCTTAATTGGGATGTTGTGTTGAAACCTGCTCAGCACCATACCAAAACACAAGCCTTCACTGATAACGATGAGGTGCATTGGGTGAGACTCCAGATCGGGTCTCCTGCATGTTGCTGTTGTCAGCTGCCAACAAGGAAGGAACAGTAGATAGAAAATATGGTCCTGGTGATAGTAAATGAAGCTGGAGATAGCATGATACAATTTTGTAACACCAATGACTTGTTCATAGCAAATGCCTTTCTTCAACAACACAAAAGATAAATTTACACAGGAACGTCTCCAGATGGAATACGTATGCAGACATCAAGTTGGCTACATTTGTGGGAAGTGATAATGGAGAAGCTCAATATCAGCACCTGAAACCAGGCCAGGGGCTGATTTTGGAACAGAACATCAATTGCTCATATGTAAATTCAGGTTGAAGTGGAAGATGATGAACCTAAGTCCTTGAAAGCCAAAGTGTGACCTTGATGATGTCCACCCCAAATTTTGAGACCATCTCAAGAACAGATTTCATGCATCATACATACACTAATAACGGAAAACCCGATGGGTTCTGAGAAAACAGCAAGAATATCATACATAAAGAAAACTAAAGATCATTTAAAAGCAGGAAAGAAATAAGATCAAAGTGGATGTCAGAAGAGACTCTGAAACTTGCTCTTCATTGTAGCATATCTTAAACTAAAAGAACTAAAGAAAAAAGAATCAAGTCTCATGTTGCAAGACTAAAAGATTCCATGGGCAAAATATTGAATGATGCTGACAGCATCTAATGAAGACAGAAAGACTACACAGTCACTGACCAAAACGAACTAGTCGACACTCAGCCATTTCAAGAGGCAGCATATGAGCAAGAACCAATGGCACTGAAGGAAGAAGTCTAAGTTGCACTGAAAGCATTAGCCCAAACAAGCCAAAATGGGAATTGATTGAATACAATTAAAATGTTTCAAAAAGCAGATGAAGCACAGGAATCACTCATCTATGCCAGGAAATTTGGCAGACAGCTACTTGGCCAATTGACTGGAAGAGAATCATATCTGTACTCATTCCAAAGAAAGGTGATCTAACAGAAAGCTCAAATTATAGAACAATATTATTGATATCACATGCAAGCAAAATCTTGCTGAAGACCATCCAACAATGGTTGTAGCAGTACATTGACAGAGAACTGCCAGAAGTTCAGGCTGGATTCATACGAGGACGTGGAACAAAGGATATCATTGTTGATGTCAGATGGATCTTGGCTCAAAGCAGAGAATACTCGAAAGATGTTTACTGACTATGCAAAGGCATTCAAATGTGTGAATCATAGCAAACTACGGATTTTTTTTCAGAAGAATGAAAATTCCTTAACACTTCATTGTGCTCATGGCCATCTGTACATGGATCGAGAGGCAGTTGTACAAACAGAACAAGGGCATACTGCATAGTTTAAAAATCAAGCAAGGTGTGTGTCAAGGTTATATCTTATCACCATACTTATTCAATCTGTATGCTGAACAAATCATCAGAGAAGTTTGATTATGTGAAAAAGAATGTGGCGTCAAGATTAGAGAAAGGCTTATCAACAACCTGAAATGAGCAGATGGCACAACCTTGTTGGCTGAAAGTCAGGAGGACTGAAAGCACTTGTTGATGAAGATTAAGGACTGCAGCCCTCAGTATGGATGACAACTCAATGTAAAGAAAACCAAAATCCTCACAACTAGACTAATAAGTAGCATCATGATAAATGGAGAAAGGATCGACATTGTTATGGATTTCATCTTGCCTGGATCCACAATCAATGCTCATGAAAGCAGCATGCAAGAGATCAAGTAACGCATTGCATTAGGTAAATCTGCTGCATAAGACCCCTTTCAAGTGTTGAAAATTAAGAATGTTACTTTCGGGACTAAAGTGCACTTGCCCCAAGCTATGGTAATTTCAGTAGCCTCATATGTATGTGAAAGCTGAACATTGAATAAAGAAGACTGAATTAAATAATTCAGTTAAAATAAATGTATTTTAACTATGGATTATTGAAAGTTCCATGGACTACCAGAAGAATAAATAGATCTGTCTTGGAAGAAGTACAGTCCAGAATGTTCCTTGGAGGCAAGGATAGCAAGATTTTGTCTCACATTTTGGACATGTTCTCAGGAGAGACCAGTTCCTGGAGAAGGATATCATACTTGGTAAAATAGAGGGGCAGCCAAAAAGAGGAAGGCCCTTGATGAGATGGATTGACACGGTGACTGCAGCCATGAGCTCAAACGTAACAATTGTGAGCATGGCACAGGACTTGAGAAAAATAGGAGTGAAGGGGTAGAGTCTAGTCTGTCAATCGGAACATACCCACTGAGGCCTCTGTGTAGGCATGGCCTTCTCCTGAGAATTCTGGGAATTTCCTGGATTTCCTCCTTGGAGGAGGGAGGCACTTATCTCTCTCTGCTCACTCCCTGAGAGACGCTCTACTGACAAGACACATGGCACTACACCCTGGGAGTTTCCTTCTGTTGCATGTCATTATGAGTTGGAACCAACTCAATAGGGTCTAACAACAACAACAACACAACATGAATAGACACATGAATAAACCAAACAAAAAAACCACACCCTATGCCGTTGAGTCAATTCCAATTCATAGCAATCTTATGCAGGGATTCTGAGTCTGTAAATTTTTATGAGAGAGATCATCTCATTTATCTCTTGCAGAGCAACTGTATGCTGAAACCACTGACCTGTGCTTAGCAGTGTAGCTCTTACCCAACAGTGCCACCTGGGGATGGATAAACATACAGGCTGAATGGTTGTTGGCAGAAGAGTGGGTGTATACCCAAAAATATATTGTTAGGTTTGACAGAGGACATTTGTATTTGCTTCAAATGCACCCACAAATGTGGTGGAACATATGAGGGTGAAGTTATGAAAACTTCTTAGATATAATTGATTGCCTTCAGTAACTGGGCCTGGGGGCTCAGGGACATAGATTCAGGTGTACCAAGGTCCATTAGCATAATGTAGTCCACAAAGACAGTGTTCTACATCCTACTTTGGTGTTAAAAGTTTCTGAGCAACCATCTCAGGTGCAAGTATTGCTCTCTCCTTATGCAGGAGAAAGAAGAGTAGTGAAAATTGAAGACACGTGGAAACAGACCAGATGACTAATGGACCACGTTAACATTAGTCTCCATGACCCTTAGACCCAAACTAGATGGTGCCTAGCTGCTCTGAAAGGGATCACATTAGAAGGAGCTGGATAGAGTAGGAGAAAATGTGGAACAAATTCCAATTATAAAGGGGACCAGGCTTACTGGTTAGCTAGTAACTGGCAGAACTGAACTCACCCCTTGTGGTAGTTACATAATCTGGTGTCAATTTGGGACTTGAGAGGATTCAGACTGAAGGGGTGGAGTCTAGTCTGTCAATCGGAACATAGCCAATGAGGCCTCTGTGTGGGCATGGCCTCCTCCTGAGAATTCTGGGAATTTCCTGGATTTCTTCCTTGGAGGTGGGAGACACGTATCTCTCTCTGCTCACTCCCTTGGAGACGCTCTACTGACAAGACACATGGCACTATGCCCTGGGAGCTGGAGAAGCCACATGGACCTACCCTGAGGCAACCAGAACCTCTGGAGCCAGAGAAGCCACGCAGAGACCCCTGCCAGCACTGAGATGATTACAATGCCACTGGATCCACAAGGCTTCCAACCCACTGGCCTGTGATCCTCCTGCATTCAGCATCATTGCCATGTATTTCGTGAGTCTGAAGAGGACTTTATAGATTGGTATCGGACATATGGGCTAATATTGAATTTATGGACTTGATTTGAAAAATATGAATTTTTCTCTCTAGTCTACCCAGCCTAACACAACCCCATGGCTCATTTTTAACCTAGCAATAAATTGGTCTGCAGAGGAACAAAAACCCCTGGCATGTACAAACACCTTGGAATAACCAATCATTTAAGATACAAAGGGCAGGTAGACCAGACCTGAGCTGTTCCCTGGGCTGCTGCGGCCGCTGCCAACTTGCTGCGCACAGAGAGCCATCTTGATTCCAGAGAGCCGCCGCCATGCCCCACTCATACCCAGCACTCTCTCCCGAGCAGAAGAAGGAGTTGTCGGACATCGCCTTGCAGATTGTGGCACCAGGCAAAGGCATTCTCGCTGCAGATGAGTCAGTGGGGAGCATGGCTAAGCGGCTGAGCCAAATTGGGGTGGACAACACCGAGGAGAACCGCCGGCAGGACCGCCAGGTGCTGTTCAGTGCCGACAACCGAGTGAAGAAGGGCATTGGAGGCGTCATCTTCTTCCATGAGACGCTCTACCAGAAAGATGACAATGGCGCCCCCTTTGTCCGTACGATCCAGGACAAGGGCATCGTCGCGGGCATCAAGGTTGACAAGGGTGTGGTGCCTCTAGCCGGGACTGATGGAGAAACCACCACTCGGGCTGGAGGGCTCTCAGAACGCTGTGCCCAATACAAGAAGGATGGTGCCAACTTTGCTAAATGGCGCTGTGTGCTGAAAATCAGCGAGTGCATCCCCTCATCACTTGCCATTCTGGAGAATGCAAACGTGCTGGCCCGCTATGCCAGCATCTGCCAGCAGAATGGAACTGTGCCAATCGTGGAACCCGAAATCCTGCCTGATGGAGACCACGACCTCAAGCGTTGCCAGTATGTCACAGAGAAGGTCCTGGCTGCGGTGTACAAAGCCCTGAGCGACCATCATGTTTACCTGGAAGGGACCCTGTTGAAGCCCAACATGGTGACCCCTGGACATGCCTGTCCCATCAAGTAGAGCCCAGAGGAGATTGCCATGGCAACGGTCACTGCCCTGTGTCGTACTGTGCCCCCCACCGTCCCAGGTGTGACCTTCCTGTCCAGGGGTCAGAGTGAAGAGGAGGCATCGCTCAACCCTAATGCCATCAATCGCTGCCCGCTTCCCCGGCCCTGGGCTCTCACCTTCTCCTTTGGGCGTGCCCTACAGGCCGCTGCACTCAATGCTTGGCAAGGGCAACAAGACAATGCTAAAGCCACCACTGAGGAATTCATCAAGCGGGCTGAGGTTAGGAGCCGGAGGCGGGGAGAGGAGTGTAGTGTGGGGCTGGGCAGGGCGCCGTCCCAGAAACTGAACTTTGGGAAGGCGCTGAGTCCAGTTGCTAGCCCTTATATACTTATTTCTCCCCGCTGCCGTCTCCGTCTCACAGGTGAAGGGCCTCGCAGCCCAGGGCAAGTACGAAGGAAGTGGTGAAGACGGTGGAGCGGCCGCACAGTCCCTCTACATTGCCAATCATGCCTACTGAGCACCCAGCCCAGCCCACCCCACCCCACGCCGCACCACAGCCCTTGACCTGGTCACCTGCACCCAATCTTGCCTGTAGTTATGACCCAGGCCAAACAGACATTCAGAGCCGAGGTCTCCTTCTCTTCCCTCCCCTCTCCCATTGCTGCTTCTGGGACCATGGGATGGGAGACCCCAGAGCCTCTGAGGCTGAGGGCAGGAGGACTGGCTAGAAGTCAGAGCAGAAATGCCTGGGTCTTTGTGTGCTCCTGTTAACCCCCCTGCAGCTTCCCCTCGGTGGGGCTTCTCCTTGGACTTGCCTTCTCATCTGTCTTCTCTTCTGGGACCAGAGGGCTGGACACAGCCCTGATTCATGCCCCGAGTGCATACCACATAGCAAAATAAATGGTAGCAAACATGCTAAAAAAAAAAAAAAATACAAAGGGCAATATTTACTCAAGGACAAAGTTCAGAAGGGTTAGGAAAGAAACAGAAATGCAAACAGAGGTAGGAAGTAGGATAGGTGATGCATTTGCAATGAATGAGATATAACAAAAGGTGTATGAATTATTGAATGTAAAAGTGATGATCTCTGTAAACCTTTACCCAATTCACAATAAAAGTTGTGTTTTTTTAAAAGACTGGATGCTGCTGCCTATTAGTAAATAGGGAAATTCATTTAGATTTAATGATAGAAAGTACAGTACACATATAAGATAGTAACAGGCATTTTTATGATATATGTACATACTATAGGTTATATGGTATGTACTGGCAGCACAACTGCTTTGTAGCAAGAGATATGAGATACATGTCTTGCATGCAGGAAGCTGCTGCATCCATAACCTCATGGCACCACAGTTGTCTGTGCAGCCAGTCTTCCCCAAACAGAAGACGAAGATGAAGGCTCTCAATGACATGGATTGACACTGTGGCTCATGTATGGTGAATGGCTCACATATGGTAGACTTTAAAATCAAACATAAGCATAAATTTACCCTGAGCCATAGATGGTACATTTATGTCTAAGAAACTGCCAAACTGTTCTCTAAAGTGACTGCTGCACCATTTTGCATTATCCTGAGGAATGTATAAGGGTTCAGGTTTCCTTAATCTTTTGAAACATTTGTCAATGTGTCTTTATTATTATAAACATTTTCTCAGAAACAAAAACAAAACTCCCTGCCGTTGAGCGGATTGCAACTTATAACAAGGGACTCTACAGACGAAGCGGAACTGCCCCCATGGGCTTCTGTGGCTGCAAATCGTTATAGGAGCAGAAAGCCCTGATGGCACACACTGGGCTGCTGACCTGAAGGTCACCAGTTTGAAACCACCAGCCATTCTGGCAGGTGAAAGATGAGGCTTTTCTATTCCCGTTAAGAGTTAACAGCTCAAAACCCCACTGGGACAGTTCTACCTTGTCCTGCACGGTAACTATGAGTCGGAATTGACTCAGTGGCTGTGAGTTTGGTTTTTACCCTATGACTTACCAATTTCACTCTTAGGTGTATGCCCACACAGTAAAAACATGGAAACAATCAAGATGTCCATCAACTGAGGATTGGGCAAAATAAAATGTGTTATATCTATGAAATTTCAACAATGAAAATGAATGAAATACAGACACATGTATGACAGGAATGAACATTGAAAATATTATGCTAAATAAAAGAAAACAGATGCAAAAGACCATATATTGTATGGTTCTATTTATACAAAATGCCTATAAAGGATAAATCTCGAGATAGAATAGATTAATGACTGAGGGGCATGGATTTATATACATATAAAGGAACTCTTTTGAGGTGATGGAAATGTTCTAAAATTAAACTGCAGAGATGATAGAACAACTCTGTACATGTACTAAAAGGCCATTCAAATGTACATTTGCTGAATTTTGAAATATATTAATTATATCTTAATGTCGTTAGGTGCCTTGAAGTTATTTCCAACCCACAGTGACCTTATGGATAGCACAAAACCTTGCTCTGTTGTGCACCATGCTCACAATAATCCTTATCATTGAGGGGCTCCCTCTTTTTCACTGACTATACCCCTGGATTCCCTCTTGCTGTTGTTAGGTGCCATTGGGTTGGTTCCAACTCATAAGAATCCTACATACAAGAGATCAAAACACCGTGCGATTGTGTACCACCCTCACAATTAATGATGTTTGAACCCATTGTGTCAAATCCACCTCATCCAGGGCCTTCAACTTCTTTAGCAAGCATGATGTCCTCCTTCTCCATGGACTGGTCTCTCCTGACAAAGTATGTGAAACAAATTCTTACTGTCTTTGCCTCTAAGGAACATTCTGGGTATACTTCTTCCAAGACAGATTTGTTTGTTCTTTTAGCAGTTCACGACACTTTCAATAATCCTTGCCAGCACCATAGTTCAAATACATCAACTTTTCTTCAGTCTTCTTTATTCAACGTGTGTTAGTTACACAATCTGGTGTCAATTTGAGAGGATTATGAGTGAAGGGGTCGAGTCTAGGCTGTCATCAGTTCATAGCCAATGAGGCCTCTGTGTGGGCACCGCCTTTCTCCTGAAGATTCTGGGAATTCCTGTATTCCTCCTTGGAGGTGGGAGACTCTCTCTCTTTCTATTTCTCGGCTCACTCCCTTACTGACAAGGATGACTCCCTGTGAGATGTTAAGGACAACAAGTGAGCCTGATGGAGCCTGAGGAACCACGTGGGGACCCCTGCCAGTGATAAGATGCTTACTCCGCCACTGGATCCACAAGACCTTCCACCCACTGGCCTGTGATCTTCTTGTATTTGGTGTCATTGCATGTGTTTAGTGAGTCTGAAGAGGTCTTTATAGATTGATATCGGACATAGGGGCTAATATCGGATTTACGTACTTGACCTGACCGGGCCGGGATATTTTCTCAATATTCAATTGCTGTTGTATATAAAACTCTTTCTTATACACGTATGAGTGTCCATGAATTTGTTTCTCTAGTCTACCCAGACTGACACACAATGTTCAACTTTTACATGCATATGAAGTAATTGAAAATACCATAGCTAGGGTCAGGCATACCTTAGTCCTCAAAGTAACATCCTTGCTTTTCAACATTTTAAAGAGGCTTTGTGCAGCAGATTTACCATCATTCGATCTCCAGACTGCTGCTTCCATGCATGTGGATAGTGGATCCAAGATGAAATCCTTGACAACTTCAATCCTTTCTCTATTTATCAATGATGCTACCTACGTATTGGTCCAGTTGTGAGGATTTTTGTTTTCTTTACATTGAGTTGTAATCCACACAGAAGTTTGCAATCTTTTATCATTATCACCAAATGCTTCAAGTCCTCCTCATTTTCAGAAGCAAATATGTGCCATCTGCTTCTCTAGAGAAATAAAACCAGTGACTCTTGTATGTTTATAGAAAGTGCTTTATATCAAGAAATGGCTTACAAAGTTGTAAAAGTGACTAAGTCCAGTTAGGTTGAAGTCCTTGGGTAAGATATAAGCTGAAGGCTTCTCCTGCCTCCCATAGCTGCAAGGCCAGATGAAAAGGAAGCAGGAAGATGAGGCAGGAAGACCACAAGCTGGTGGGTGCCAAGCCAAAAGAATCTGAGATCAGCCGAATGAATCCGAGGTCAGCAGGCCTGATGGCTCCTGGGGTTGGCAAGCACTATAGAAGGAGGTCAATGAACCAGATGCACCATCCAAATCTATCAGTAGAAGTCAGCAGGCTTCCACACATTGTCAATTTATGCAAAAAGTAAGCCACACCCTGGATGAAACCTTCCCTGAATTGTCTCAAGATTGTGACCAGATTAAGGAGGGCTAGTCTCCCTGCAACTGCTTGACAGCTTCACCGAAGATCCCATGATAGAGCTGACCACATTATGTTCAATCATATCACGGGAGAATCCTAGCCCCCCCAAGTTGGCATCAAACCTAACTATCATACTGACCCTCTGTTTACCAAGAACGATGGCTTTCTCTAGCGCGGTGGTTCTCAACTTGTGGGTCGTGACCCCTTTGGGGGTCGAACAACCCTTTCACAGGGGTCGCCCGATTCATAACAGTAGCAAAATGACAGTTACGAAGTAGCAACGAAAATAATGTTCTGGTTGGGGGGGGGGATCACCACCACATGAGGAACTGTATGAAAGGGTCACGGCATGAGGAAGGCTGAGAACCCCTGCTCTAGAGACTGTTCCCTCCTGATAACATATCCAGAGTAGTGACACGAAATCTGAATATTTTCCCTTCTAAGGAGCATGCAGCCAGTACTTCCTCCAAGACTTGTCCTGTCATTTGACAACACACAATTCAAATGCATCATGTCTTCTTAGGCCTTTATTATTGTCCAACTTTTGCATGAAAATGAGACAGCTTCCCTTTTAAAGATTTTTATGGAGGGCTTTGGCAGCACATTTGCCCAATACTCTGCGTTTGATTTCTTGAGTACTGCTTCCGTGAGCATTGATTGTGGAGCCAACAAAATGAAGTCCTTGACAACTGCAGTCTTTCCTCGATTTATCATGATGCTCTTTATCGGTCCGGTTTGAAGATTTTGGTTTTCTTTACATTAAGTTGCAATCCATACTGAAGACTGAAGTGTTTGATTTTCGTCAGCAAGTGCTTCAAGTCCTCTTGGCTTTCAGCAAGCAAGGTTGTATCTTCTGAAAGCTGCAGGTTAAGGTTCTTCTTCATATTGTCCAGCTTCTGAGATTATTTGCTCAGCAGACAGATTGAATAAGTATGCAGAAAGATATAACGCTAATGCACCTTTCCTGGTTTTATAAACCTTTCCTGATTTCAAACCGCACAGAGTCCCCTGGGTTTAAAACCACTGCTTCTTGGTTTGTACAAGTTCTACATAAGCTCAATTAAGTATTCTGGAGTTCACATTCCTTATTATCCATAATTTAATATGATCCACACAGTCAAATGCTTTTGCATAGTCCATAAAACACAGGTAAACATCTTTCTGGTGTTCTTTGCTTATAGCCAAGACCCATCTGACATCAGCAATGATTTCCCTTATTCC